TAGAAATGTAAAATATTGAAAAATATAATTATTTCGATGTTTTACATTTCTTGTTATAAATTATTCATTTATTACTTATTATTAAATGTAATGATATTACTGTAATTATATGTAATTATTGTATTTGTATATTAATATTATAAAAGCAGAACGTCACCAATAATTCATAATTATGAAAGTAACAATCACTATAATGAATGGCATTACCTTTTATTTCAGTTTGAAGCTGAAGACCAAATTCTACTTTAGTGTCATCAGCAAGTTGCAGGCTATTGTTCATCCATTGACTACCATTTGTACTTTCTATCTTTGCGATTCCAACTATAAGAAAATCATTATAAATATCCTATATAATTTAGATGCATTTGAGGTAAATCATGCTAGTATGTTATAACTGAAGAATGTTGAAAATTTTAAAATTTCGAAACTGAATGTCTGAATTTGAAAATTTAACGGTTTAAAAGCACTAGATTTTAATCTGATGACAAGTCTATATAGCAATAATAGCGTCAGATATCACGTTTGAACACAAAGACAAGTTTTGTACAAAATCAAAATATTTGCTTTCCTTTGTTTGTGAATAAATATGACTCTTTCATTCAAATGAGGCATTTACATGTTTTCATACAGCAACATGTGAATGAAGTGAAAAATCTTACTATAGTTCCTTTCTTCAAAGTACTCTATTTTTGTTTGTAGGCCCATTATATACTTTACGTTGGATAAAATACAATCGTCAAATCCTGTAAAGTACTCCATTACCTACAAGCAGGTAGAACAGAAAATTAAAACTATAAATGATGATATAAGATAACGCACTATTGTGATTGAAAATGGTGATATCTACATTTAAACTTTAAGTACCTAAAAAACAATGTGTAATAAAATACGTCTATAAATATGTGTCGGCTGCATTTTGGCCAAGTGCTCATCTAAGTTAAAGTACAGTATTTATTGTTTGAGGAAAAGTACGGTTGTGAATTCCACTCCGAAGGTGTTGGAGTTGGTTAGTGTAACCGAAATAAAACCATGTAGGCCTAGTTTTTGGTATATTAGTATACAAATACAACATAATTTTTGAGGTGAAGTAGCGAATTCTATGTCCCGAGATGTTGGATGATTGGTGGATTTGACCGATGGAAGTTCTAAGGACAACTAAAAAAAGATTCGAGATAAAAATAACAATATGGCACTAAAAGAAGATAGGGGGTTGCGTGTTTTGATAGCAGTTTCATAATGTTTCTTAGCATATATGAATATAGATTTCACTAAAATGAGATGAAACAGCAATAACTTCATAATTGGTATGGGGAAATATCTTGTATTCTCTTCATATTTTAGTTCACTTTAGCATTAAAATGAACATGATTTGCAATACATAAAATAAAATATACCGTAACATATGTTGGTTAAGCGCAGCAAATTTAACTGTAACACGAAAACCGAGCTTAAAAATCTGTTTCAAATTTGCCTCTTTGGCGTTCCATAGAAAGCTGCAAAAATTACACGAATAAAGAATGCAGAAATACGTAAACCCCCTTTTGGGCCATTAAAATACACGTGGTCCAGTGAAAACGTTTCGAAAATTCACTATTTTTTCCACAACTAATCTGAAATAGGGATTGATACGAGTGCCTCACTTCGGGCAATCGGGACTATGATGATTTATGTTGTTATGACCGCTAGGTTTCGAATCCTAGGCGTTTATTTGGGCACTTGGTTTTCCATTATGATTATAGGCTTTGAGCGTAATTATAATCTAGATATTAGCTGAAATAGGATTTAAACTACACGGCTAATATGAAAACAGATAAAAATGGAATAGACCTACAGTCTGATACACGAAAGTATACCAACCGTATTGTTTTGTTTGTTGCAATCCATGTTACCATTACTTGAACAGCCTTTAATAATAATAATATTAATAATGAAAATTATTATCATTATATTAAAGTAATATATCATTATTTTTATTATTATGTATTATTATTTTATTTGGATTATCTACAGTATTTAAATCAGTCTTTAATATATCATTATTTTTATTATTATTATTATGTATTATTATTTTATTTGGACTATCTACAGTATTTAAATCAGTCTTATGTCAACTTAGTTTTTTCACTTCAGTAAAATTTTCAATCAATGTCATTCATTGATTGTGCAATATATAATAACATGTTCAGTACTTCATAGCCCTTCATACGATGTAGCAAAATCTATA